AATGGATGGCTGCTAATGCGTACAGCGTAAACGTCGAGAAATACGGTAACTGGTGGGACTGGGAAATCGGCTCGGCAAAACACATCTTTCGCATTCTCGTCATGCTACAACGTTGCCTCAGCGGGTCGATGTTGGTATCGTATGCGCAAGCATTTGATCATTTCGTGCCGTTCATCGACGTCACCAGCAGATTGCAGACAGGCGCAAATCTGGCAGATATTCTTACTGTAAAACTACTCGAGTCCGTCGTTAAAAACGACTCGCCTTTGCTTGATAACGTCAGCAACGCGACACCTCACCTGCTTGCGACCGTCACCAGCGGAGACGGGTTTTACCCGGACGGTTCCTATATTCACCACTCGTACGCACCTTCCAGCGCATCTTACGGTTCCGTGCTTATTTATCAAACGGCACATATTCTGCTTATGCTGAGAGGCACCAGGTGGTACAGAAATGAAAAGGAACTCATCGGCATTCTGCTTTCAGCTATTGAACCGGTGATTTTCAAAGGCGTCGTTTTGGCCAATCATCGAGGCCGTAGTGTCGCACGTTACTATAACGCTGACAACGACGAAGGAAAAAGCATCTCGCAGAGTTTCGCGCTCCTGGGCTATTTGGCATCTGGCGACAGTGCAGTGCGACTCAAAAGGATAGTCAAGACATGGTACATTGATAACCTAACGCTGCTGGTCGACAAATGTCCGACATCCTTGATATGTCGTTTGTTTGACGACATCGTCTCAGATGCAGCAGTCAAACAGCTTCCGGAAAGCAACAGACATTTCACGTTCAATTCCATGGAAAGACCGGTTCACCATCGAGAACGGTACGCGTTCAGCGTTAGTCGCTCATCAGCGAGAATCGTCCGCTACAGTAGCCTAAACGGTGAGAATCTTCGACCGTGGTTTCAAGGCGACGGTGCCACCTACCTGTACGTTGACAGAGAACATTACGGCAGTAATTACTGGCCAACGGTCGACTCTCGACGCCTTGCCGGCATCACGGCTGCTATGAAGCCGGCCAACATGCTGACTATTTCCAAGAAAGCGCTCAGCACAAGTCCATGGTCTGGGGGTGCTGAGCTGGAATCGTATGGCGCGTCGACGATGTTTCTGATAGACGATGGCATGCAGCTAAATGCGTTCAAATCTTGGTTCATGTTCGACGATGAGATTGTCGCCACCGGATCCGGCATTAGCGACGGCAGCGGATATCCGGTAGAGACCATAATTGACAACCGTCGGTTGTACGGAAATCCGGATTTAAAGGTGAACGGTGTCAAGCTACGTACCTCATCGTTCAGGGGGTTGCTTGACGGTCAGGCTTACACGGCGATACTCACATTCGGTGACAGAAAAACGATTGGTTACTACGTACGCTCCTGCAGAGATCGATCGATAAAACTGAAAGTGTGGACCGAGTCCCGTACTGACAACTGGGAAAATTTAAACACCGACTTGAAAACACTGAACAGCGTTGGTCGAAAAACGTTTACAAACGCCTTCGCTACCCTCGCGCTACTGCATGGAACAAATCCTAGCAGTTCAGATTACTTTTACGTCATTTTTCCGTTCAGCGATGATCAGCAACTTGCCGATTATGCCACGTCTCCTTTCATAGAGCTTCTTGTGCAAACGCCTAAGTGTCACGCAGTTTATCATAAAAATCTTAAGATCTTCATGGCTTCATTTTTAGACGTCTGTCATTCACCGTACGTTCGCTCTTCCACTCCCGCGGTCATCGTGCTGAAGGCTGATTCGTCCGGTCATGCGAAAGTGTCCGTGGGTTTGTCCCGCTATCAACAGCAAACCATAGAGCTTCTATTTCTGGGCTCTTATGTAAACCTGACAACTAAAGATTCCAGAATCTCCGCCAGCCATAACTCCAGTGGTCTCGTTCTTGTCATAAACGTTCGATCATTTCAAGGAGAAAGCTTTCACTTTCAGCTGTCAACTTAACCTGTTTTTTCCAGACCTATTTTCGTAGTTATTATTTTAAAATTAAGACATGCCATTGCAGTAGTTTGCCTTATAACGTCCCTTTATAAAATGACCGTTAAGAGTGAGGCGTTGGAGGCTTTGAAAGACTCTTCCGTAAAGTTTTTTAATGAAGGAAATTATCGCTAGAAGCATCCAGACGGATGGCCTCAGTTAGCAATGGTGTCAAGAGACAGCGGTCGCAGTTGAGAAACTTCATACTTTATAAATATTTATACTTTGTTAAAGAAAACTGGAAAAGGAAGACGAATATACAGTGAGGCAACTTATGATGTTAGGATCATGAAGGTTAGCGAATGAGAATTATTCAACAGGGTAAGATTAACTTTAGTTACCTCCCCCTCAACCCCCCCCATAACAAGGCACTCAGTGTATAACATCATGCAATTCTGTTACTCAGAGAATGAAAGAATGCAAAGAAAAACAAAAGTTTCCTTTCATGAGGCAGGGGATTTCAGAAAATCCTA